TCAAAACAAGAAATTAAATATGTGAGCCATAATTTCAATTTTGAAAACATGCAAGATATATATACACTCTTATGTTAAGCAAGATCTTCAAAACCAAGTTCAAAATGATGAAACATGAGACATGCAACCATGGATGTGGACTTAGTTTACTATTCATCATCTTCTTGCTAATTTCTTTTCAATTACATGAAATTGAACCAAAATCCTTTTTGATTTCAAGTATTAGGTGTAGAGGAACTAAACAAGAAATTACTCAACTTGTTGAATTTTTGAGCTCTCACTGCTAAAAAACAGACTTTTAGTGGCGTTTAAAAAACGCCGCTATATCTATAAAAAACGCCGCTAATTTTTTTCACGATGTGTAGTACCAAACGTCGAGGCTGCCGCCGTCGCTGTATCTTTACGGCGTTTTAAAAACGTTATGATTTTAGCGACGTTTTCAAAACGCCGTGATATCTTTTTAAAAAAATTGACAGTTTAGGTGGCGTTTTAAAAACGCCTTGAAATCCACTTGTTTTTTTTTTTTTTTAAATTGTGCTAATTTTATGTAATTAAACTAGAAAAATACCTGTAATAAAATTGAATAGCCTTAATATGAAATAATAACTCCCATTCAAATAATAAATGCAGTATTAATTCACTTTCCTATTCAATTTAATATCCAATCATCATTACCCACAAAATAACATATTCAAATATTAAATTCACAATTCTCAACCAAAAAATCAGCAGTCCTATGGCAGCAAAAATCAACACCAGCCAAAAGTCACACACAGCCTTGTTCTTATCAACTAGACCAACTTGTATTACAAAAGCTTTTGTAAGATAATTTGCTCCCAAAAAATGAAAAAATGGATCATTATCCACATCCATACTAGATCTACCAGGTGTCTCTGGAGTATAAATTGCAGGAATCACATCAGGCTCCCTAGCTAAGAAGACAATGTTCACCACCCCATAATTTCCACTTACAAATGGTTGGTGCTCATCATGCCGCCATTCTCCATCAACAGAAATATTACAATAGTCTATTTATGGTGTGCACGGTTTTTTTTTTTTTTTTTACAAAAATACATTCTGTCTGAGAGATCGTCCAGGTCTACTGTTGAAAGTTGGTCGTAAAAATCATCCCCCATGGCTGGTTCATCTTCCCATTGATTATCTTGGTCATCTTCTCCCATTAGTGGTGACTCATGAGAGACGCTATGCTGATAGATAGGATACTGACTTTCATCAACGAATGTTTCTTTACTGAAGGGATATCCTGGGATAGCTAGGTTACAGTATATCTTCTGATTTCTATCTTCACAAACTAGATGTCCATAAATTCCATTATATGCTAATAGAGGATTATTAGTGAATTTCCTCTATTTATTGAGCTGATCTCTGAGTGAAATTTTTTTGCATGGCCAGGGTCTCCGATTGAGAAGTCCTGGGTATCCCGAAAATGTTGAGGTTCCTCTAAGGTACATTTTATGCTTGGCTGTGATGCACCTTATTTCTTTCCACTCTGGTAGCCTACTATCAATTAATGCTTCTACATATGGATGATGCTCTTCCATTACACAAAGTACTGAATGAGCAAGTTTATTAACAAAGCTATCTGTCTGATCTGGATCTGAAAAAATTATTCTAGAGACAAAGCCGTAATCTAACAATTGTGAGGCCGTTAGATAACGCGTTTTGCCCTTAATCTCTATCTCCAATGGTTCAAACGTTGCTAGATTTATCTGGCAAAGGCAGATGCTGAAATCTAAATTACACTGACATCGACCAAAATGTTCTGACCTGTCCATACATCTTTCCTCTTCTAAGCAGGGCTGCTCTTCATCTTCGTAGAGATAAGTCCATTGATAAGCTATACCAGGGCATTGAACTCCTGCTATGGAGAGGTCTTGAAGAAACTGCAGAATAGTGACTAACTCACTATTTCTGCTATCTTCGGCTAAGGTGTATATATAGGGTTTAAGGTCCTTTATTTCTTGGCTTTTCTCACAAAAAGATCGAATGATAGAATGCCTGAAGAAATACATTCTAGCACTCAATTGTTCAAATTCCTCACTGGTGAGTTGTTTGATTTCTAGGTTAGGTAAGGAAGCGGTTACTCTTCCTGGAGCTAATTTTTAAAGCTGGTAGGTTAGGGTTCGAATGGTTGCTCTCAATTATTTTTCTTCGTCTCGGAGCTGGTCTAGCTCTTCACTGACCTTTTTGCCTTTATCCATAATTTTCTTGAAATTTCTGGTAAGGCCTTCACAATGTTTGCACATTTGGAGAGGATTTTGAGAATCTATCTGAGGATCATTACTACTACTTCCAGTACTACTACTTCCAATTATATGGCTAACTGGAACTCCACTAGTAGCAAGAATGGTTGACTGCATCTTGCCCAATGTGTCCAGGTAATCTTTAACTATCTGGCTAATAAAGTAACTGGTTCCTATTTGTCTTCGGGCATATGTACTGGCTTACTCGAAATCATAAAATCCTTTAAACTGAGATATGGGAAAATTTTTAACTAAGGGTTCAACTTTTAACCAATCATGGTAAATACAGGCTTGGTTCCTTTAGCTACTACATAAAAAAAAAAACTTTTAGACAAGGGCTTGTTTTGGATTTTGGAGAAATATATACTAAGAGAGTTGAGGGCTGACAGACGTTTAGCTGGGTG